ATGTTAAGGTTATGAAGGGGTGAAAAAACAAATTTAAATAAGATAAAAATATATATCTTATTGCAGTCGAAGTTAGACAAATCGACGAGCACTAATTTACAAGTGCTGGACCCATTATTGCCACTGTAAAGAGTAGTAACTTTTATAAACAATGGGATGAAGAAGTGACTCAATAAAGAGAGATACTGATCCGGTCAAAAAATGACGATGGCTTATTATTGCCGCAGAAAGTGTCGCTTAATTACATTATAAAATTCATCTTCCGTAGGTACTTACGTATGTGACAACTAAAGTTTTGGTGAATGTAATCCTTCGTTGTTAATTGATGGTTTTATTAACAACGGGTTATATTTAGTGTCAGTATAGCGCAGCAGTAGTGGCCTCAACTGCACCCCAGCGCGGAAGCCATAGGTAACTATAACTACTATATTTGTAGAGATAGAGAGCCGAGCGGCGGCGCCGGAGTTACTGGTTACTGGCAGCGTATGACTGCGGCGGCACATTACGCCCGCGCCCACGATAACGCAAGTTGCCGGCCGCCGCCGCCCGTTCCCGCCCCGGCAAAACAACCACGCCACACACGTCGAAAAAAAAACTATATAACGCTATTTCAATGCTTCATCAACACTACGAGTTACGTACACAAACGTTGCAAAATAATGTTTATGGCGTTTACACCGGAATTAGTAGGATTCGTAAGTACTATTCGTATAGCTTCCTGTACCACCATATATTGTTGGTGTTTGACCAGAGCGGTTTATTTACAGTGAGGATAAAGTTAGCGCTATACAATATGTAAACATTTGCATGGAAATACCAATACACATCAGATAATTTTATGATAACAAACTAAATAATAATATTTTATTGTTATGATGACTTCGCGACATCCCACAAAAAAAAATGTAAAAACCCTGCTCCACGTTTTAAACCAAACTGATGAAGTATTTATAATGAGTAGTTTAAGGGATTTCCTAATAATAATCTATATCTAAATGTTATACGGATTTTTAACTGAATTCCCAAAAGAAAGAGGTTATCAATTCGCCAGCATATCACCGACCCTGGTAAACCGATTCTGATAACATTTTTTTTTATTCGTAAGGTAGTACTTCCAGGTGGGTATCATTTTTAAATTTCGTAATCAAAGAATACTGTGAATATTTTATAATAAAGTGTTTTTGTTTTATTTTCGTTTCCGTAGCCTAAACTATAAGACCTACATTAAAATGACATGCAAAAGATTTGTACCTCTTTAAATTTTGCTAAATAAAAACATTTTAGCAAAATTTAAATCTTTTAAGGTTGTCGCACAAATAGCACTTTTACTTTAGAAATATCAATTAAAATAAAAACTCCACTTTCAGCGCTATTACTCCTGTTGGGTATGAATCCTTATTTAAATAAATATGTCTATAATCAAGAGAATTTAATGTACATCTTACTTTCTTACTAATATTATAAATGCGAAAGTTTAGATGGATGGATGTTTGTTACCGTTTGTAGCCTAAACGGCTGAACGGATCTCCATGAAATTTGGCACAGGTTTAGAGCATAGTCTGGCAAAACACATAGGCTACTTTTTATCCCGGGAATAGTTACGGTTCTCGTGGAATTCATTAATTTAGTTTTTTAATGTTTACTCGGTCATTCTGCAACGGTTCAACAAATATTGAAATTTGGCACAGATATAAAACAAAGTCTGGAGAACACATGGGATAAGCTTCATCCCCGAGAAATAAATAGGTAACTTTTTGTAATTTATATAGTTTGTATGTTTTCTAATACCACGCGGACTAAGTCGCGGGCAACAGCTCGTTAATAAATAAATGATCGCATTGATGTATTAGTTCTTTACTTAATTTATTAGTTAACAAATTTAGATAATTCTTTCTTTGTTTGAAAGCTAGTGGTTATCATATTGCAATGTTTTAAATTTACTAAACATCGAGAAGTAAATAAAGATATTATTTTCACGTGAATTTTTAGTGTCGGTCGGTTTTTTTTATTAAAAATTTTATTTATTAGTGTTTTGCTTTTGTTTTCAGAATATCGTTTTTTAGTGTATTTTTGTTTTCAATACAAATACATATTTGATAATAACGTTTTATTGATAAGCGACGTCGTAACAGGATAATGTTGTCAATAGTTTCTTTTCCTGCTTTAATTACTATTAGTTTAATTTGTAGTTTTTGTAATGTATAAAATAGATTGCGTGGACAAAGTCGCGAAGTCATAAATGACTCGCGAGGTTAAGCCACAGAGCAGCCGTAGCCTGCAGCACAACTCTGCCGCCGCGCCCGGACCGCGCAGTACGCGCACCACACAATACACAACACAGATATCACACGAACATCATAACACGTGAACACGTGTAATACTGCTAGTACATGTAAATGATTTGACACTATTACGACCGTCCGATATATTAGCTGGAGTTGAGAATTCAGAGTTTATATAAATCACTATGTATAAGACTATATTAATCGCTTTTTAAACGATAATTCAGTTACTTGAGGTAAATATGCAGGAAATAGATTAAAAATGGTATGAATATTCAACCAAATGGATGGAAGATGTTTTCATAATATTAGTAATATTTTGATTTTTGTATATATTGAAATAAGTCAAAAACTGCTGGGCCGATTTCAAAAATTATTTCACAATTAGGATAATTTTTCTGTCAGTAACGTAGTCTATGTTTCTATTATATTTTTTTATTTCACACAGGCGAAGTCGCTAGCAACAACTAGTCGTAAGTATAAAGGTATCCCACAAAAATTTGGAATATAAAAAACTGCCGACTCTCGCTGCCCCTACAAAAATGGGTTGGTTGTGTAAAACCTAGTCATTCTATTTAGTGTCTATTATGTAACATGTCATTTAAGTGAGCAATATCCGTCTGTATTTATTTGTTTCCAATCAGTTGTATTTTTATAGTTTTAGGAGCTGCATTTGTACGGCGATAGAACTAATTGAGAGTGCTAATAGCAGCATTGCCAGGACTCAAGTCGCGACATTGTTTACACAGGGATGCTGTCCCACTGCTCTGAAGAGAACAGCGGTCAGCTATAGGCGGCCGCTGACGTCAAACATTCACCATCTCTTTGATATGTACTCAATATTGAGATGCTCCGTGCTCAGAATACATCTTAATACAAGACGCATGCGGCCAAATATACTTACTACTCGAACACAATATGAGATTCGGAATCTGCGCAGTAACGAAGTTTGCGGGCGACAGCTCGTCTGACAATAAAAGAAAACGGAATTTTAATCCGAAGGTAATACTAGATACGTAGATTTTTAACACCACGCCATAGACATATAAGACATTTTCCTAGAAGACGCGTCATGTACCGCGCAGAGGAATTTGCACCCACCTGTGATAAGATAGACAGGTAGTGTGCAATTATGACTAACTAGCTATTGCTCGCGGGTTCGACCGCGTGAAATTAGAAATAATAAAAAAAACATAGCCTATGTTACTCAGAGATAAATTACCTTTCTAACGGTGAAATAATTTAGATAGCTACGTTTTCACAAGCTAGAAGCTACAAAGGCTGTATTTACTATTATATTTTATTATTTCCCCGCGGAGGAAATCGCGCGCAGGTTTATGTGTAGGTTTAGTTCTACAGTTATCATAAAAACGTAGGTTATATAAGGATGTTATCTTTAAATTTTTGTAATTCTTAGTAAAGCGATGATAGAAGTGACGACGATGTTACCCGGTGAGTCACGGCACCACGGCACCGGATCAGGATTACCGATGCAGTTCGAATACGAGTGTGTGGATTATTCCCAACCGTCACACCGCTCTGTCCCTACGTGGGGACAGGTGAGAAATAAAGTTTCATCCATTTCATTTCATAAGGAGACAGATGAAACCGTTAAGAAATGAAATAAGTTCCAACCGTCCCCTTGCCACAAAAGATGGGACGGATGAAACTTTATTCTCATCTGTCCCCATGCGGGGATAGACCGAGGTGACAGTTGGGAATAATCCAAGTGTGTCATGTTTACTTCGGTCGATATGTTCCAGTTTTTGAAAAATAACTTTGTACCTTACCTCGTACACTCCGCCCCTATCTATAGCAATTATCGGAAGTTTTAATCAGAATATCCTTTATAACTGGATGGTGTAAACTAAGTTATTGTTTACAAGTTTATCGTTTCGAGGTGTCAAAAGTTACACGATTATCGCTTTTGAGGTTGAAACGCGCGGTACATACCATGTCCTTGACACTACCATGTTTAGGCATGGTATGGTAATTTACGTCTATAAGATTTAATTTGCCTTATAAGATTTTTGCAATGTTTATTTACGTCCTTGCTTTAACGTCCTATTCATTACTCTCAGTTATTTCAGCTTTATAAATTGAATTTTTGCTAAGGTACGTTAGATTAAAATCACAAAACTGTAAACAATAAGACCGTTTAACATTGTTTAAATTACATTTAAATGACTGGAAAAACCATTTTTCAAAAGATAACGTTGTTATTTATATTAAAGCGATAATAGTTGAGATGTTATTAACGTAAACAAGGCGGTCGGGTCGCGGACACGCGAACAAGACGCTTTACGCATTCGGCCTCGATTGCGATGTGAGATGTCTGCCGCAGGATGTCGAAAATCGTCATTAATCACTCACCCAAACACTCCACAGTCAGTACGCCGCAACAATAATATTATCCTCTTTCAAACAAACATCACAAACACAGTTCCCTAAACACGAATTTGCCACGAAACTTGACGCAACCACAAATGTCATACACTATTTAGCAACTACCAGCGAAGCAAAAGCGACTAGCAATTTAGCATTCGACTGGTTGAGTTGTGGTTTGCAACGCGGATGTGCGACGGAGATGGCAAGAGATGGTCTCGCTCGCACCGCAACATGAGAACATGCGCAAGCGCTGGTCGTAACGCAAGACACCACAAATGGCTTATTTTGTGGACATATTGAAATTTTATGTCGCAATAATAACAATTCAAACATAAATGCCCTTTAAAAATATTAAATTGAATAAAAGTTGCTACTCAGCGTAATATCTAAAAATCAATAACAATTTGATTGTGCTACAATCTTATTATTCACTTTGCAATAACAAGACTTTCCGCTGATGGCAAGAGATGATGGTCTCCTGACACAAACTACAGAGCGCAACGTAACCTCCACTCCGAGCTCCGATGAATGATAATTGATTTACGAATGCGAACAATCTCTAGAATAACAGTGTTTCTTATTTCTTTACTAAACAGACATTTTACTTGTACCCTTTGGAGATCCTGCTATACATTTCGAACGTTAGCTAGTTACTTTATTTATTTAATGGTATTACATAGTAGAATAAAGTAACCACATGTGTGATGGGGCTTTAATTTATTGGCCTTTATATTAATTTGCTGTCCTCTGCGGAATGCCATTAATATAAAAGAACGATGGGACAGTTGTGCGAGCGCCTGGTAAGAGCGAATCGTAATTAATACATCCAGATTCGATTCCGTCAATTATAAATATGTTTTTCGAATTTAATGTAAACATTTATCAGTCATTCATACGGTGAAGGTAAACATGATGCAGTTTTTACAGATCGGCAAAGAAATTTAAAGACATACCTGAAGTCTAGTCACCCTTAAATTGCGGTAGTATTTAATTCAGAGTCCCTCGCGTGGGGACATATGTGAGTTGACGGCAAGAACTGAAAAATCAAATAGAAACATAGAACATAGAATTTAAATAATATAAGAAATGTTTTTCGCGACCTTTTGGTGCGCAATAACAGTATGTGATATGACACCCGGGCGGTGTTATCAGCGGACACAAACAACAGTACTGAGAGTGCGATAAGGAACCGGGCAGGGGACATGCAGTCGCAGTTTATTAACATCGAGAAAATGAAATGACCCCACTATTTCAATTTATCAGCTATCAGCGTTTCACGAGGCTTTTTCACATTTGCTGTTAATCATAAAACTCTCACATGTTTATAAGATTGATTCTTAGATATCTGGTTTGTTATTGGTTTTAATGTTTTTGAGTCACGCCTTCTGTTGATGGTCGGTGCCAAGTCCTTGCACGCAAAAACATTGCATTCTCACAATGTAAATGTGTTCTGTGGTAAGATCTTGGTACGATCAATGCCTTTACATTCAGAGATTTACAAAATACAGAGTATTTGAAATACCAAATATGTACAAAATACAATACATGTATCTTACAATTACTCTATAAAGTCCAAATACTTTTGTAAGAAAACGTTTTTTTTTTAAATTGTTCGTAAACTTTCTTTCATTAACGAATAAATCATGATTTTCAATTGATTTACGAATTGATACCATAACCCTCAATCTCACGGGCGCTTTTTGCTGCATAGCCGCGAAAAAAATATAAAAAAATATGAGCGATTAAGGTAAAATAAGTGTAAAGATAATAAATGCCTAAATATAAGTTAGTAACACTTTTCTAATTTTTAATAAACGTATATTATTTAATAACGAACAGCAAACTTGCCATTTTGTAATGATCTTAAAAGTGAGTGTTGCAAATGCTACGGCAATTGCCGCTATCTAGGGCTTTCGGGCCATCAAAACTACAGCCGGCGACGTTTGCAACCCTAGGTACCCTAAGGACGAAGCAGAATCTACGGCTTTTCAAAGATCTAGAATAATTCATTGTTTTTCTTTAATAAATTCATTTTTAGTCGTTTATTAACAATAATTTGTACCTGAAATAACGAAATTCAAATAAATTATTTACGACTTTTTAAAACAAAGAAGGGACAATTGTAACACCGTTTGTTTGTTTTTAAACGTTAAAATGGCGATATTTAGCTAATGTTGAAAGGTTTTCCTTTTTTTTATTGGTGCTATGGACTACCGGTGATCTGGTCCGTAAACACATTTATTTATTTATTTACACGATGTACACGGCCGGGTAAAAAATTTCATTGGCAGCCCTGGTTGGTTCTTGTCAATGTCAAAGTCCAAACGAATCAAAACTGGAAACCTTGTTTTGTTAGTTTTTCAAAGGTTTTTACAACATAGAACGATCTGTAGTTAAACATTTGTACGCAATCACTTATAACTCAGTTAATGCGATTTAAAGTAATTATGATTTGAAATTTAAAAACAAGTAAATATGCCTTGTGAAATAATAATAAGAATAGCCCGTGAGGACGACGCCGTGCAACGCGCCGAGCTGATCCAGATGGGACTCCTATCTCACCAGTGGGATGCCTTCATATACTTCATGAATCAAGAGGTATTCACGATTGTATATAGATTTTATTGAGTCGACTATCCCACCCTGTCTCTTTAAAAAGTAAACAAAAGTTTTGTTTGTGAAAACGTTGTTTATGTAAACACACACAGGTGATTAGGACTTAGGTGAGACAATGTGTTGTGTTATGCAGCTGACGCTGGAGTGCGTGCTGTTGAGTAGCGCGGTGCTGTTCATCTTCTGCGGCCTGACGCCGACGGCCTGCGCGCTGCTGGTACCGGCCATCGCCATCGCGTTTGTTGCAGCCGCCGTCGCGGTCGCGCACCGCGGCCTCGCCGCCACACACGCACAGGTGACACACCTTCATCGATTTAAAATTGGGTTGGAACCTTTCATTTTTTTAAGCTCTGCTACCAGTTTACTGTAGTCTTCTGTAACTTTCATTTGATGTATTCAGTGAACTTTTACTTGAATTCAAAGTAACAAAATTCCATTATGACTATGAAAAGGTAATATGCAATGTGGTGTGTAGCGTGTACGTGGGGAGATGTTTGGTCTGGTGGCGGAGGTGCGTGGGCCGCTGCAGCTGGGTGCGCCACCGGGGCCCATGCCCATACGCACTGAGCTGCAGCACTGCCCTCAGATACAACATGATGTTCATTCAAAGGTAACTCATGATTTTTTAAACTATGTGATGTTAGAATTGTGAATTTTAATGTTTACATAAGCCAAACATATTTAAGCTGCTACTGATTTCTAACTTATCATTGGAATGATGAAATTCTCCAAAATATTCACAGATATGAAGGATGCTGTAACAAATTGTCATTTAATAAATCAGTATTGCTTAGTTAATTTATATTTACAATAGTCGAAACAAAGCGTATGACAATTGTTTTATTTTGTTACATTATAAACATAGTTGTATATTCTGCACAATATCTTTACATCCTTGCTTCCGCTATAATAATGTTGTACTATATATGAGTTGGTGAACTTGCATCTTCAGGTTATTCTACTTTGTCACCACTCAATTAGTTCCTGATTTCACAATAACAATGTACAAGAGTTGTGGGAGGAGAGAGCAACAGTGGGGGCCGTCACTGTGTGCAGGTGGTGGGCACGCTGAGCGTGTCGCAGTGCCGCGCGGGCGGGGCGGCGCTGGGCGCCGACGCCGGCTGGCTGCACGCGCTCGCCGTGCATTCGGAGTACGTACACCACACATCAGATCAGCTAAGTCTCCGACTCAACTACAACAATCAGCTCACAAATCGACCCAAAATACATCTATGAGAGCCAATGAGCTGTGAATTACCTTGTGACTTGTAAGTTATACCTCTGTACTGGTATAAAAG